GTAGACTGTAAAGGATAAAATTCAAACCAAACGATTATGATAAACCAAATTCGAGCATAAAGAATTCGTAGCCGATGCGCGATAAGAAAAATTCAAAACAAATGAGTTGGACAAAGGCCAAAAGATATTCCCAGTTCAGTTGGCGGAAAATCTATAAAGATGTATCTCTAAACTGCGACTGTCATTATAAATTGGCCGTTGGATAAATCAGCCGGGTTTCGATCGGAATCCTTTATTCTTATTCAATATATCGCATGAAAATAAACTTGTTAGCCATAAATTGTTCGGAATGTACCGTTCAGTGAGCATGTAAATGCCGGAAAATTACTGCAGTAAGCCAATTTGGACATCTCACGGAGTGTCCCCTTGATAAATGACCGTCTTTATGCGATGCACTAAAAGAAGCGTCGAATTTAATATCTCTCTTTCCTTGCTGGAATAAAATACTCATCGCTTTTATTCTATTTACATAATTTCGCCGGAAAATAACTATTCAAAAATCCGAATTCTTGCATGCACATTTTGTCCTATCTTTTGTAACATTAGCGTTGAAAACTGCGGATATAATTCGTATTTTGTTCATCAAATCTAATAATTGTTGCTAAACACAAAATAGAGGATGGCTAGAATTTGTGTGAGCCTGTATAAAATTTAGCGAACGAATATACAAAACCTTATTAAACCGCGTGGAAGCAGCCAGGCGTGTATGAACAACCAACTATCAGGGCGGAGAGCGCAGTGCGGCGTTTGTCGGCGGTTGCGGCCGTTTTAATAATGGGATCAGCCATGATTATACTCCCATCATAAGCTTTTCCACTATCGATAAATTTATTATAATGCGCTTGGTGGTCGTCTCAATTGCTTCCATGTTGAAACTTGCGCATAGAATTTTTCAATTACACTGGAGTCCATAGTGCCCCGCGTTTCTTATTGTTCTTTATCAACGACATACCACAGTTTTAGATTGCTGATATTAATATTAAAAGAATACGTCGCAGCTCGTTGGAATTTCGGGAAATTCTTAATGCCTAAGGAATTTATATTTGCATACGAGAAACACGGCTGTAAAATCCGTTATAATTGAAACCATCAAAAATTCGATAGCCACCAGGACAATAAAATATAGCGCCTATACGAATCTATTGTGGAATAAAATCGAGTCGGAAAATTCTTCTTGAAACTCGAACACATTTTCGCAATTAACGTCATGGAAATTCCGTTAGAGCCGTTTCGAAACAATTATCGTTTGATATGTAACGCACGTTGCAAAAAAAAAGAGTTAACTGACGCAATTGAGGTTGCACCGAGGAACAAAAACGCGATGACAATTTGCCGGCAACAAAAGGCTTATGAAAACCTGTTCGACAAATGTTGCACACGCGAAATAATTTCAGCGAAATTGTTATTCACAATTACGAACGTTCGACCATTGTGGAGGCAATCAAACAGAGAAATTCTATTGTATGTGGAATTATGTGGATCTTTCGCATTATATCGGTTGGCTAGAGCGCTCTGTTTATTCATCAATGGACACGAGTCCCCTTCAATAGTCAAATTCATAGAAATTACATTAACAATCACCATTATTATTTGCAGTTCTGATTGCAATGGGCGACATTTCCTTGTCATGTTTGAACAGCGCAGGACGGTTAAGGACGACTTCATTAATGCTTCTGATTCGCAGGAAAAGTTTCCTCCAAGGGACAGGAACTTGTCCATTTGGGGATTCTTTTTTTATTGAAAAAAATCACTCTTCTATACTCTAATCTTATTTAAGTTGTGTATTTTACCCCATAAAAAGATAATATAATACAATCTGGCGAATTCCGAAAAAAAATCTCATGTCATAATGTTCAATTAAAAATAAAAAGTGAAATATTCGCATGATTTTCGGCGTTAAATACCGATTCAATAAACGTACAGTAATCGAGTAATATTCGGAACATGAGGTGAGGCTTCATTTGTTTCCATAAAATGCAAATCAATCTGGAAGCAGGAACAGCGAGAGAATAGAAAATTCCATTCGGAATTGGAAATGAATCGTCAAAAAGTGGACAAGTTAAATTAATTGCAATGAAATATAGCAACCTGACAATTGAACATGGAACAGTTGATCACAAATCAAACGTCAAACGCACTCGTTCTCCGCGCGATACGCCGTACCGTGAAAATTATTATAAATATAATTGATTAAACTGCATAATTAATAGCGCCGCTTTAACGTACCAATTTAAATTTAAAATTCGTTCTCCGCCAGCCCTAATTGATATTTAGTAATTAATTTGGCAATGTCATTCGTTCCGTAAAGCTCCAATAAACGAACAAAGGGATTTCTGCTCGTTGTTGGGCCGACTCCTCCGGATCCGAATCGCTGATTCGGATATTTTATTATCAAATTTGCGACTTTTATTGTACAACGTATCGGTTTGTTCGCCGCTTGCATGTTCTAATTGATGTTATTGTCTTTTTTTGTTCGATGTTTTGTACACGCACGAACATCCGCGTTGATTTTGTCAGTCTGCAGGAAATTACGTTACTTCCAATTACACGCTCGTATGTATCAAATAAACGAAGAATTGGACACCGAAAAACGCCTCTTAGTTGTTGCATTTCCTATCCAGCTTTTCTATCTAATTTAAACGATAACATCGCAAAATAACCAATAGAAAAGGTTAGAGATGCGCGCCCGAATAAAGTGTCGCACAAACAGCTTTCGCTCTCTCGGACCTTTTCTATAAAAATGCGTCTGCAGCTGACAGATAACGCTATCGCTTTCTTTGAGAAAAGCCATTAGTGCGGCCGAAACGACGCGTCGTTAGCGCCCCCTTACAGGTGTTTCTGTCAGAGTCCACCCCACGTACACATTAATGAAGCTCAGCGTTAAAAATGGCGGGGATCCGGTAGAAATGACACTGAATAAATTCCGATGAGGATCGATTGATTGCCCAATTTTATTTTTTTTTTGTTCGAACTCAACCGCCCGACCAAAATCGTCCTGTTGGGGAGTGAATTCGTTCGGACTAAATTGTTAAAAACGGTCATTAAAAATATTATAATTCTTATTGAAGTGATTAGAGTAATTAAAAGAATGTAGATGAAAATAAAATATTTATCCTATTACAACAGAGTAATATGGAGCATTATCTCAGCCAAAAACTAGTGGAGTATAGAGAAAAGTATAAATAATATTAGGTACAAAATGAAACAATTTAGTTTTAACTGATTTGGTATTGGATAAGATTGATGAAATCGTTATTAAATTCTTCTCGATTTAACCGTGAAAACCCAATTTAAATCGCGCCCGTTTTCCGCAGGATATTATCGAAACGAATGGAGCTCATTGTTGGCGATTCACCTCCGATCCGAGCGCTTTTTTTCCGCCGATTTGGCATGATTAAAGGTTCTTGATTAGTAAGTACTTTTGGGAAGTCGGGCGCGAACCGGGCCAGTGTGGTATGGACCAGAACAAAAATCATTAATCACAAAGGAGGGGATGCGAAAGTGTAGTTAAACTGTAATCTCGTCTTCGGCAGCGCGTTCCGCCGCCACCGCCTCCGACTTCTAATTAGTGGCTATTCTGTGATTACGACGGGGTCACGTGACCGGTCGTTTTTACTAGTTCTACGCGATAGACGGCGCCACTTATTGTTCTTGACGTTACTTGAATTACCTCTATTATCTCCAAGTATTTCCAGGTAGGAAGTTAAGGAACTTTAACTACATCCTATACTTCGCAAATTTTTGGAAGATGCTCCAGTGTTTCGAATTGTTAAGCTCTAGTTCCTAGCTTCATTTGCTGCTTTACGAATATATTGAACTAATTTAGCCCTACCCAAATTGATGCATTACAGATGAATCATCAAATGGACTCTGGTGGATAAACCTCTGCTCTCTTGCTCGCAAATGAATGAAATTATTGAAGGCAATTCAAAATTATCAGCTAACAATCATGATGGTATAGACAGGTAATCTGCTCTAGGATAGATTCCTCGAGCTCACCAAATAAATATCTACACCAGAAAATTCGCTTTTCCAATTTAAATTACATGCGCAGGTTAAAATTATTAACGCCATTTATCCCGCACACGTTCCGGGACGCTTTGAATTAATAACGCAGATCAACTAAATCGACATGGAAAAATAAATTCGGCACAAATTGATGATTCAATCGAAGGGCTTCACCTCAAACCGAGGAATTGTTTATGGGACTGTCACTAGATGTCGCATCGGTTCATGAAGTGGACTAGGACGTGCTCCCCGTACCGTGGTTTATGCCGCTACGGATTTATGTGGCGTTTCCCATTGATTTATTACCGTGACAGTCAAATTCGAACAGCCATGGCCCAGCGGCGTGCAAAACGTCCTGGGGCTATGGCTTTTACATATGATTTAGGATTAATTTGGTTCACTTGGTTGCCAATTTCAAGATTTTTATGAGTTATAATTGGCATATAAAATTTGGGACAAACATTACAAAGCTTGGTAATGTAAAAACACCCTTTATATACGAGGCAATTTGTTTGAATAAAGATAAAAAGAGTGAATAGAGGATACCAGAACAATTTACGTGAAAGCAATTGAAAATATTGGAGTTAACAAGCTGCAACCAGGGCAGGATAATCCCTTTGCAAACCTAATTATTATGGTTTGTTACAGGAGATTTTATATTTTTGATTCGTATGGCAAAAATAAATCCAGCTTCCTGGAAAGGCTTTCTTTTCGTCGATTCGCAATTCCTCTAATTTCTTTAACCAATAATTTTTTTCTTTACCACGTACACTGAACTAATTAGTTGGCAATTTTTCCAATTTCGCATTCCAAATAGAATGAAATATTAAATATCGTGTATAAGAAAAAAATGTTTATTATTGTAACATTTCGTTTATTAATGTATACTCCGATTTTTATTAAATTCAGTATTTGTTCAAATGGAACAAAACAGTTAAAAAACAAAACCTTTCTATAAATAAAATAATTTTATTAATTTAATAAATAAAAATCACTACAGCTCTAATGGTTCCATACGTGAATTCACACCACAACACAAAAAAGTCAAAATAAATAAAATATATTTAACTAAAGCATCCAATAGTTTCGCTAAAATGATGTAATACTAATTTTCGTTCAAACAATTCAGTTTTCCTGTAGGTGGCAATCGCCCAGCGGGTCCATCAATTGCCCAGGTGGGCAACCGTTGTCTCTAACGTCCAGCAAGTTTTGAGGACCAAACACGGTTCCTTTCGTTGTATTTTGCGTATACTTCACTTCGGTCGCCGACTCAGTTCCCATTTTGAAGGACTGAGAGTCGTTGTTAAAGTTGAACTCCTCGTCTTGAACGTTGTAGTCCCTCTTCTGGTAATCCGGGAAACCCGCATCGGGTTTCCTACCGAATTCAGAGAAAAACGACTTGAAGCCATCCAGCTTTTGATTCCAATCTTCTTTTCTTGTATCTGCAGGTAGGACACCTAAATGTTTTACAGTTATTACACTCGAGTAGATCAATTGTACAGTCGTTAATTGGACTTTAAGAACATTCGAAAACTTGTAAGAAAAACCAAGATATTTTTGCCAAATTGATCTATACATATGTACTTACGATTTTTCGCTACCGATTCGGTGGGATTGGAAGTCGTATGGCGGGTAGTCGTGGAAGGAAGAGTCACCACCCGTCGAGGATGAGCTTGCACTACGAAGGCACCGGCGAACAAGACGAGCGCTACGAACGACTTCATGTCTGGTTGTTCGGGATTAATACGCCGTTAACTTTGGAAACTCCGAAATGATTTGACGATTGAAGGAAATTTCAAACTTAAATATAAAATTGAACGGGTTCGTCCCCTCTCCCCGGAGAATAGTTGGTTCGAATATTTGTGTGTTATAGTCATGAACTGTTCATGGAATGAAGCGATTTTAATGCAGAGTCGTATTAGCACAAATTGTTAAACGTTAATTCAGTATAAACTTTGCGTATTATTTATAAAGAGTGATTAGCATTGATTGTCGCTTCAAAGCATTGTCAAAGCATTGATTGTCGCTTCGCTTTTAAGGGATTAATTATCTCTTAACTGGTACTGCTAATACACTCCTATAATTAAGTAACAAATCGAATTAAAATTTGACACCAATTTATTACTAACGAAATTTTCATATAGAGCATGTTATATGGGTACCTAAAGCAAGTTATTTAATTAATTAATTAAATATAATTTACGTTAATGTGTCCTACCACAAATAAATGGTTAGCGCAGTTATCAAAGAGATTTATTATTAAACAGAAATTATATTTGGAAAATATTTTACATCTGCTAATATTGGATATAGTGAATCGTAAAAATATATCTAATAACTGTTTGATTACGGTACTGAATATCTCATTTGTGGGAGATTAAAATTTTTACAGATTTGCTTCTCAGCACACATGGGTACGGATTTTGTGTACATATTGTACATTGTTGGGAATTATGTATAATTTATACACCGAATCGACCGCCATTCATAAAAAAACCATTTACGTTTAACCAGAAAATCCACAGGTCTGGTAATTGTTTATTTTCTTTTCTTAAATAGACATACCTAACCTTCGAATAGTTAATCAATCAATTTCAGCTTATAATAAATGAATTTTGTTAAATCCATTTGACTAAATTGTACATACAAGTTTCCCACTTTTTTTTAGAATATTACGTTTCACTGTTGCAGGAATATAATTACGTTATACGATTTCCAAAACTTCGTATGTAAATATGGAAATTCGATTGAAATTTCTTGGATATTCTTTGTATTTACGGCTAGTTTCAAACGTGTTATCTGACTGTTTTTACCAATTTATCGTGATAATGCAGATATGGGGTTTCCACTTTTCGAAAATAGAATTCCTGCAAATCGACATTTTATCGCGATTGACTGATTGAATTCATACAATTCGAAAAATCATCGTATTTTAATCGATCCGATTATTCTTTAACCAAAATATTAACGGTTGTTGTTATTTTTAGAACGCTTCTTAAATAAATTTAATATCAAATTCTTGTTAAAAATTTTTAATTATTAAGTCGATCAATTAAAGTTTTCTTATCTTATCTATTCGATGCAAAGTAACAAAGACAGACAGTTTTCAATTGGATGGCAACGTGACCTCCCTAATAAGTTCAATGTATCTCCGGTAACTTAAGTTACGTAACTGTTTTATTTCAAACAAAATTTTGATTGTAATGTTTTGACTGATTCGTTACGACAAAATGAAGAAAAATTCTAGTTTTGGTTAAATTTCTCATGCTCAAGGTAATTTTTTAAATCAAATATTTATTCGTTTTAATGATGAACTAATCAATATTTACTTAATTTAATGGTAATTTTTAATTATTTAAAAAATGAAATATGTACACATTCCATCAATTTTAGCGTGATTTCAGTTTACATTGATATTCCTCATATTACAATTAGGTACGTTAGTTGTATTGAAATAAAATAATCTGCTTGTCGTAAGTTTGTAATAGGTATATTTTGGCTATTTTAGGTAATAATTATTGATTACCTACTTGAAGATTTAACTGATTAAATGTCTGAGTATTTACGATCACAAATCCACTCAAGTGCCTGTTGAAATTATGAATGTAATGAAAAGAATGTTTAACTAAGAAAGTATAACATATTACAAAAGTTCTTTATTGAATGCATATTTACAAAAAAATTTTTCTTTATGCGTTGTTAGTATCGGATTACTTTTGCATTACCGATAGAAAATAATTCCATATAAATAAACAATAAAATATTGCTAGATTTTTAGACGTTGATATGTCATTTATTCGAACTATGCTGCATTAAACAACTGCTCCTATCGTATTTTAGTAAATCTCCGACAACCATTCCATTTACCATGAATCAGAAAGTTGATCCGAAGCAGCAGTGCATGGGTCACACTTGTGTGACAACCAAATGCAATCCGGGACAATGCCAATGCCAAGGATGCGGTACGTGCACGAAATGCAAGCAAAATATCGAGGAGACCGAAGTTTCGGAAGACGGCCCTCCGCCTGTGTACAGCAAGAAACCAAACTGCGGCAAGGAGCGGTGCAGATGCTGCCCCAAATGTCCTTCAGGCAGGGACAACATCACCCTTAGAGACAAAATGAGCAAAGATAAGGACAGGGATAGGGACAGAGATAGGGAAAGAGCGAGACCCCATGTTGAGAAGCAATGAAGATAATGTGCACAATTGAAGAGGTAAATATTTTTTCCTAATTATTTAAAAGACAATTTTTTGGTATAGGCAACTTAGTTTTTTTTTAGAATTGCCGTAACATTTTTATTTTCCTTCATTGTCAGGATGAAACATAGCGAGCGAATCTTGAAATTTCGTGCTAATTTTTGAAGAATTAGAGTGCGTTGTCTGCTCGTGAAAATTTGATATCCTGGAAGATGCGGAATTACGCGAAAATTCTTTCGAAAATGTTTCATTACTAAATATGTTGCATTCGAGATGTCTCCAAGCTATGCTAGTACTTACGACTTAGTTTATTTTCAAGGGATATATAATTTTGCAAATGATCCTGTCTAGGTTGCTGCTTTGTGATATTATTTATTATTTTTCTAATTTCATTTAGTAAAATTTATATATCATTTTGCTAAACTGTTGGTGTCTAGCGTATTTACGACAGCTTGAATGCGTTGAATGGCACATGTACCGCGTAAATATATCAACTAATAAAGTTTCATAGGCTTATTTTCTTGGTTTCAATTTTTCAACTCACTATACTAACAGTGATTTCCCAAACGAGCTTTCTCCGTTTTTGCGCTATTGATACAAAGATCACCGTGAAACGCATGCAAGTAAATATAATAAAGTGAAGAGCGTGTACACAGAAGATTTATTTCGAGAGGGTTTGAAGCTAAGGCATCGCCATTCTCGGTGGCGAGACTTTTACTCAACTATTGCGAAATTTATTGTTTTTAGGGGAGAATGTCTGTCCGAAAGTGAGGGTTTTGCGGGCGAAATGCCCTATGCGACTCGAAATCTATAAGTATCGCAGATATCTAAAGATTTATACACCAAAAAGTGCAAGCATAGTAGAACAATCCAACTTGTAAAGGGGGGAAAACGTTGGGGACAAAATTTGATTCTCTCGGAACAATTATTACAATTTTACTAGATTGTAAAAGATAAAAATCCGAATTAGTAATGAAATATGAATATCTACTCATGAGAGAAGCGCTGCATTTAGGAAAGACGGCGAGGAAAGTTTAATTTCGCTCGCGAAAGCGTACGGAAAAACCTAAAAATCGAAATGGAACGTGGCGCTGCACCAGTCTAGAGCTGGATCTAAAACGTAGCGCTTGCGAGTTACATAAGTGGAATTGTAATAGCACTTTGTGCCTTTCATTATTTATGAGTTACCAATAGAACCATTAGGAATAAGCGCTGATGTGTATGCGACTATCCACACCTGTCTCCGGCACTCTGCCCTGTTTCGACACACGCCAGTTTAATACTTTATCTTCAATAAGAGTAATATAAAAATTCGTATTCAATTTTCGATTCAATCTGTACCTTTTTTAAAAATTGGAAAATATGAATGTGCATAGTAAATGGAAAAAGTATTAAGATACTTTTAAATTATGCCTATATTTAATTCTATACAATATTTTTTCCATATTACAATTATTTTCCCAATGTCTGCTCGATATATCAATAAAAAAACTGAGAAAAGCACAGGTAGGACACCGGATTAAGCTCCCCGACAATCCGATTGAATCGTAACCCCAGCAGATCCTCGCCGATGTAATGCAATGCGTCTAGTTCGTTAGGGTTGTTTTTTTTACTGGTAGTTGTGCCCTTTCCATAGGGGTGGAATTGATGTGATTTCTATGTATCTTCTCATGCATAAAACCCGCAGCTTTGCTCGTAAGTCGCATTTCGAGGGCCGGGAGGACTTGGAGGTGGTTTCCGCCAAACACTTGTTAAACGCATTTGTCATGCTTCCTGCTTCTTAAGTTCTTCCGGCTGATGAGTAAATTTTGCGTGCATCGCGAAGTGAACTAATGAATCTCACTAGCTGCTCATATTTCCGTTCGTCTGTCATAACGAAATCTTGATTTCTAGGCCAGTTGCAGTCTAGGTTCTTGCTTTATATACCTACTCTAATTTTATTCAATAAAATTTGTAGGCTCGTGGGATTTCGATGGTTTTTGTTGACACAAACAGTTAATAATATGAGGGGGTATTAAGTACATTGTAAATGCTTATCGAGAAAAGTGGTCGAAAGCATAGTGTTCAATAAAATAGTTATTTTGTTGTGTGAAAATAAGCAGTTACTCGTTTCGGTTGCAGCAATTTTAAAGCTCACTCCTCTTTTTCGTCTCTAAATCCTCGGATTTAGCAGCGTTTTAGCTTCTTACTAACAAGTAAATATTTGCAAAAGTTGTAAAAGCCTCCGTTTCCTTTACCTGCTCGTTTCTCGTCCGCCGTCGTTCGGATTCAACGGGAAAAAGGAAACAATTCGAATGCACCCCATCCATTCTCCGCAGATCTGTCGATAAAAATATATACACGGCGAATTTAATACGTTTTGTAACAAAAAAAAACGACGATTCGAATGAACCGGAATATCCGGCCAATACGTTCCATCGCGCATACCAAACATACCATAGGATATTTGTCATAGCTCTAATACATCCCCATCGGAATGTTAACTTCAGACGCATCATTCAGCCCTCTAACCCTTCCGTAGCGAAATATATCCGACAATGAAAACCGCACTCAACATATATTTCACAAATAAACTTATTTTAATTAACCGTTGCACATAAATCCAGCTAGAGTCAGGGCGGTTTTAATTTATCGTTGGCGATAATTGGTGTTAGCGAAACGAACGTACCCTCAGCGTAATTTCTAACACTTGCCGTTTCCGAACTAACAAACCAACTTTCCAAAGCGACGGCGTCCCCGGATCGGGAACCACACGGTACGTACGCCATGGTGCAACATAATTTATGTTTCGATTTGTCTTAAGATTATATACAGAACGCACAAAATCTCGCGAGAAAACGATTATTGCTGTGTTGTTTTGTAAGGATTTGCTCTTTATGTATACGCTGGTTTAGACTAAAATTTGCACGAGCAATCCATTGAGCGGTCTATTCTATAACACTTCAATAAATCCAACTATACCGACCTGGTTGTGCAAGATGCATAGCTTGCGGTTGTCGGTGTCAGGTTACGGTTTTTGGCTAGAGGATGCAGTGCTAGAGATATAAACGCTATGGCCGGCTGGCAGGATATGTGTATCAAGGGTACGGTGAAAAACGTTCGTTCCCACAGCTCCCGGTAGTTAATTTTCTAATCTCGGATATCTGTTTTTAACTTATCGCAAAGAGTATATTCCACTTGCCGCAACTAAATTGCAAACGATAATATAAGATATTCATGCCTAATGCCAACTCCAGCGCTACGAAAAAAGTAAATAAATGTAGATTGCAAGGCTGTTATTAAATTTTAATTATTATCGCAGATAATGTTATATAATTAATTCAAATCCAGGTTACTGAAGATGTAAATAGAAAGTGTGGAAAGTCAAGTATGATAATTATGATAATATACAAACATCGTTTCTCTTCGAAAACGAGGTGGCTCGATAAGCTTTGCAAGGATATTTGGCAAATCTAGATTAATGAGCTCTGAGTGGATTTATTCATCAAACCATGATTACGATAATAGTGCTATAAATTTCAGGACGCAAGGACGCAGGTCCGGTAAACGGTCCTGCCAAAAAGATCAGGATAATTTAAATTATGTAGGATAGAATATCCAACCAACGTCCAAAAGTAATAATTTCATTAAGATATAAACGCTTGATTGTTATTTATTGATGAAATACAACGAATTTGTTTTGGTATTCAAAACAGGATTAAATGCGAATTGAACTGGACGGAACCAATTACCGAACGGATAATAATGTAAATTGAATAAATCACAACGGCTTATTAAACTAAAATTTCAATAATTCAATAATTACTGAACTTGTCTGGTACAATTGGGCACAACGATTTTTTCATATGAATTCGAAATTACGCCCTCAGATTTACGTGTAATTTAATTGTTTTAAACACATCGAATAGTTTCCCTACTATCTAAGCAAAACAATTATTGTAGAAGAAAGAAATTATTATTTAACTAGCGCTAGAACAAGTTTGGAAGAAGTTCGGAGAAGTATAGAAAGAACGGCTTATCAGAAGACTTGCACTCGCCTCGACATGACTCGTGCATTCGTATCCTGCAGTTTGTTAGGCTCGTTGCCGTTTGGTCAAATTACATTAAAATAACTAAAATTTCTAAAATGATGATTTGCTTAAAATATATCTCCTACAACGAATGAATTTTTAGGCAACGTTGTCTAAATTAAAATCGTGTTAATTTCTAAAAACGTTACGATAAATTCGCGTACCGAAACTACAATAAACCATATAACTTCCATTTCGCAAATTTATGGATTTCAATAAGAAAAACTATTGCACCAACTGACACTGCTCCCGAGACTGCAGTAACACGATCCTTCAAAATCGTGCCTGCAATGCTTTCCCGCCAACTTTCCAGTCTCCGTCTTCCACCTTATTCGTCGGTTCTTCCTCGCCTTGTCGTTAACTTCGCAACCTACGATCCAGAAATTTTCGAAGAAATAAGAATTCGACAGCAGGAATACTCAGCGGACTCCGAGGTAGATGTATCTAGTCGCTTTTTGAAATGTTCTTATCTACTGTTAATTGCTGTTTGTTCATCATTGTATCTGAACTGTGCAAACGACATTATTAATTATTGTCGTCATCTACTGTTTCAATATTTCAAAATTGAACACATTCAATAATACCGTAAATTATAATGCAATTTTCAGTAACTTTTTATTTGTTATAGTTGTGATTCTACGTCAATCTCACACGTTCGAGTCAATCCGAAGGCGCCTGCTTGCAATTACTCTTCACCGCCGTATAAAAATCAATTTCCGATTTATTTCCACTCCGCAATTTTCGGTTGTCAATTGCTAAAGGACAATTTCAAAACGCGGGTTTTTGTCGACGAAGATTGCGTACCGGCGTGTGCGAGCGTGTGTGTGTGTAGCGTTGAACTTTCCACGTTTCTTTCCCGTTTCGGTCGATTTAAGTCAAATATAGGAAGTGATTTTATTAGGGAACGTTCGAAGGCTAGATCTTTTTTTCTGGTTCTTTTGCTTTTTTGAGGCGAACGTGACGGGTCGGTAATAATTTCTGACAAATTGTAAATTCTAGTTATGTCGAGATGTTGACTAGACGCAAAACGAATAAAATTTCGATAAATGCGGGTTGGAATACGCTTGAAGGATAATGCCGATTTTGCGTGTATGAACCGGATTTTGGTGTATAAAAATAATATGGAAATAATCGACTTAATACTAACAAAAGAAGCCTGAAATTAAGCCACACATCCCTCTTCCATTGTCAATCAATTACTAAAAGTCTATTCTCTCCCGTTGCAAAGCAATCGCTTTCGTATCACGAATCCTTTGGCTGGCACTTCGCAGACAATCCGGAGCGGAATTTCTTTATGATTACAAAGAGATGACGTTTCTGTCGAATCCGGATGAATAGATAATAATCGTGATATGCTCCATCTGGTGCCTTCTGCTCCAATCGAACTCGCTGTCGACTCCTTCCTGAGCCCTACGGCACCACATGTGTACCTTTCCTGCTATC